CGTAATAACTTCGTATAGCATACATTATACGAAGTTATACGAATTATTTTAGTCGTCAGAACTCTTTGGAAAAGCAATGTACTCGCCCAGAACTAGAAGAGAACTGTCTAATTTTTAGCAGAACTATCAATATGCGGCCAGCATATCACACATATGCTCAAAAATGCGCGTTTTTCGAGTAAATTAATTGTTTAAAAAATTTTCTAATTATTTTAGTCGTCAGAACTCTTTGGAAAAGCAATGTACTTGCCCAGAACTACACGAAAACTCTTTAATTATTAACAGAACTATTAATATACGGCCAGCATATCACACATATACTCAAAAATGCGTGTTTTCGGGTAAATTAATTGTTTAAAAAAATTTCTAATTATTTTAGTCGTCAGAACTCTTTGGAAAAGCAATGTACTTGCCCAGAACTGCACGAAAACTCTTTAATTATTAACAGAACTATCAATATACGGCCAGCATATCACACATATGCTCAAAAATGCGTGTTTTTCGGGTAAATTAATTGTTTAAAAAATTTTCTAATTATTTTAGTCGTCAGGACTCTTTGGAAAAGCAATGTACTCGCCCAGAACTAGAAGAGAACTGTCTAATTTTTAGCAGAACTATCAATATGCGGCCAGCATATCACACATATGCTCAAAAATGCGCGTTTTTCGGGTAAATTAATTGTTTAAAAAATTTTCTAATTATTTTAGTCGTCAGAACTCTTTGGAAAAGCAATGTACTCGCCCAGAACTAGAAGAGAACTGTCTAATTTTTAGCAGAACTATCAATATACGGCCAGCATATCACATATATGTTCAGTGTCCTCTATTTTTTATCTGCTAACTTTCCGTAGCAGATCATTTTTTTCGATCGGTGTTTTTTTTTATAAAATCACCAGAACTATCATTAAAAACTATCAGGAACTATAGAACTGGACTGCATGCGACAAGAACTCTCTTTTATTTTTGATCTGCTAGAAAATGATCTGCTACGGGAAGTTAGCAGATCATTTTTTCGATTGGTGTTTTTTTGGATAAAATCACCAGAACTATTACTAAAAACTATAAGGAACTATAGAACTCGACTGCATGCGACAAGAACTCTCTTTTATTTTTGATCTGCTGGAAAATGATATGCTAGGTTCACGAACATAATATAAAATGATAAAATTATGTTAATTCAGTATAAAGTATTATAAAAAATTGCGCATTATCTCCTATTTTTATATATATCTTTATATTTACCCATATTTTATTATTAATATTTTTGTTGTAAAGTTTTTCTGAGGATTTTAAGACAAAAAATTTTAAAAGATTAAATTAAAATAAACCACTAAAAAATCTCAATGACACAAGCATGAGATCCTAGAATTGATACCGCATGTAATTCCGCGCGAGCAGCAATTAATTTCACATTACTTGCAGGACTGCATCATCAAGAGGTCGCACGGTTAATCGCCGAGTCGTTCGCGCGCCGCGACCGCAACGAGATCGAGTTTCTGGTTGTAGAAGCGAAGAAGAGCAACCTGGAGCCGAAGCCGACGGCGCTCATTTTCCTGGAGGCGTAGCAGGAATCTCCCACCTCCGAGCCGGAACCGCCGTAGCCCGATCTGATGAAGGCTCGATCACCGACGGCGAGTCTCGAGCGTCGCCGCCGATGAATCCGATCGAGAAACCAATCGAACAATCACGATCAAACTTCGGAGAGTTCGCTTTCTTGATTCGGACGATCGAGCTATCAGTCAGCTGCTAATTATTCATTCACCCGGCCCTGGTGGTGGGAACTTCGCTTCACCCGCTAATGCAAAAAAAAAACAACGTTTCGAAGATTTCGCAGGACCGGCATTGCCAGATTTTCAAGTTCAGACTTTCGGAAAATTGTTCTAACGGACAACAAGTCGCATCGACGGAACGAGGAATCCCGAAGCGTGCTCTTCGAATCGCGCTCGCCCTCTCGAATTTTCTTTCCTCGCGAATCCGCGAGTCCGCATCAAACTACCGCGTTACTTTATTGTATATATACATAGGTGCATACACCGCTGTACATAACTCCTGTGAGACAGACAGTTCGATAGAAAACGATGAAATTCGAGTGTGAAGCACCTGGCAATGCCGGTCCCGAGCTTGCGTCGGAACTGTTCACCGATTAATTGCGCGATAATTAATCACCGTCGCAACCACGTGGAGCGTGGCACGAGATGCATCATCCTTCGCAAGAAAACGAGCTCGAAGATGTAGAGAAATATTCACCGCTTCATCGCTGGTTGCCTCGAAGATTAGAGAAATAGACAAAAGATATCGTGCAATGTGCCAAACTAAACTAACGCAAGTTGTTTCACGTATTCTATGATGTTAATCGATAAGAGATCGATACACGAGAACAGAGCGAGCACGCTCTTTAGCGCGACAAGAGTGCAGACCTATATGCTCACACGTATACACACAGTGTAGTTGCGTGAACGAGATTACCTCACAAACACACGCGCAAACTTGTACACACACGCGCGCGCGCGCGCGCGATATAATGTTCGCGCGAAATCCGAACTCGCAGTCGTGTCGGCTCGAGTCGAGATTAATCACGCCGTTGATTATTAATTATGAATGTTATAGCAGAGAGATTTGTATCCGAAAAGCAGAACAACGAAAACATCGAAAAACTCGAGAAAAGCTCAAAATACTCCAGAATCATAAAAATTAAATAATAATAAATGATAAATTAAATTAAGTTGAATAATGTTAAATTAAAAGAATATGAAATAACATCAATTATTGGCATTTAAAGATTTATTTTCAAAAAAGTAGATATTGCACAAAATTCTAACAATTCTTCATCTTGTAACGTGAACTTATTTACTATATTGTTTTCAAATTTGCAAGCTTCGATTTATATCTCTGTAAATTCTCATTTTATAAAAGAGAAATTATAACAACAGATGATTCAGGATTTTCTTCTGCTTTTCGGGTACAATCGTGTTGATCAAGATTCTCGTTAATTCGAATGATTAGGTGTCGTTCGGCTGGTCCTCGAAATCGCGCCTAATATCGCTTAGTAGTTTGTTAAATGTTACTGTATAGATTAATTAACGTTGACGTAGTCGATGGACGTTGATCGGACGTCGCTAGGGCGTCGCGCGTTCGTTTATTGCGTTGTGTCAGTTGTATGTATTGTTAGAAGATTTCAATCCCCCGGTGCTCGATACATCCGCAAACAAGCGCATGCAATTTGTCAAATTCCATTTAATTACCGTAGCAATTATCATAAACTTCGAGATAATTATCTAAAAAACTTTTAAGTGAATAATTCTATTATCTGTATTTGCAAAAACAAATATCTGCCACTTTCCTTAATTTAACTTCTACATATTTGCGATAAAAATAAAATTGCAACAAAGATAGAAATTATATCGATATTTAATTAAAATTGAAGTGAAAAGGATGCGTGATCGCCGAGAGATCTCGCATGCGCGACGGATGTATCGTGACGCGGGCGTGGGTTGACGATAATATAATATTTTGTTGACCGTCGAGAGTATAGCCGAGATATGCGTCGATGATCGTCATCGAGGCGGAATTAACGACGATCTTGACCGGGCGAGATCGGTACGACGGCGGCGTCGACTTGTTACGTTTTGCGGACGTTGTTGAGGCTTAAAAGAAATATATTACTCACGTACACACGCTACGTACACATATTTATACATGTACATATAAGTATTATGGTGAAGGGGAAAAAAAATACAGTGGTGGAATTGCAAATCGTACCTACTACCTACTGGGCGTCAAGCGTTTCGCCGAAACAAACGGGAGAGAGAGAGAGAGAGAGAGAGAGAGAGAGAGAGAGAGAGAAGAAGAAGAGA